TTCCAAACATTACTCATGTTTCTCAATATGGGTTTTGGTACAACACATTCTTTATTTTTAGCTTTTAACATTCCCTGAGGATAAACAAAGAGAATGGATGCGTACCATTTCGGTATCTAATACTTCTAAATGTGTAAATCCCAATCCTCCCAACTCATTAAACTTGGTGCTAAAGCAGGGGTGCGATTAATTAGAAATAGACTTGGGGCTTCACTATTAAACGTAATCAGAAGAGATTATCACTGCAGTGAGCTGAGCGAATAAAAATAACAACTGTGTATCTTCTGCATGTCTCTCAAACAGCCTAGAAACATATGGTGGAGCTATAGAAAGACAGCTAATTGGCACACCAGTAAATTAGTCAGTGTACAAGTCAATTAGACAGCTGTATCGAAAGCAGTCTGCTGGTCAATCAGTTGGCTTTTCTGTTTCTTTTCTTTTTTTGAGCAGGAAAGATATGACTTGTTCCTGCTTGTTACTCTGGCCTCGTAATTAATGTTATTCAGGTCCTACTGGGTAGCAGGTTTGAAGGAAGTGTTCTTAGACTGTTAATTTGCCAAATGTTCAATTGCTGCTGCTCTTTAACATTAAAAACGTTCTTCCAAATTTTACAGTGAAGCAGCTACAGGAAATATTTGTTCCAGACATATTCCAGATGAGCGGTGCTTTGTTGATGATGCCAAAGAGTTGCCAATTGGGAAGCACCACTGCTACATTTATGTTTTTTTACTGAATGTGTATATACTCAATACAAAGTTTGAAACGCAGGAGTCGTCTGGATAATTTAAGGTTCATTTTCTAACAATTTGTTTTAATTATTTCACCTTGCCCACAGTACAAAAACCATGAGCCTCAGCCAGTGTTGTTAACGTGGCTATGAACAAAACAAGGCAGAATATAGTTGCTAAGAGTTTTCCTTTGTCCATAAAACTTCTTCAAAGTGACTCCACAATCACACTTGGAAGCGGCCCAGTTGTTTATCTTAAAGAGTTTCGTGACCATTGAAGCCACAGAACTGCACAGGAATCAGCTAATATTATTTATGTGAAAAATTAATTGATTTTTACTTAACGCCCAACATACACAGCTGCAGACCAAAGGAGCTTATTGCAATTTACAGTCTATAAACTGTACAAACTGTATGAAAAAAGATGGACAACACATCTATAATTCCTCCCGTTGTACAAAAGTGACTTTAAAATATCTTTGATCTGGGTGATGCTATCTTGCGCTTGATGGCTTCACAGACGGAGCTGAGGTACTGAGTTTCCACGGTATATGGGTTCCGCAAATACACGAGTAATCCCGAGTAAGTCTCAGCTGTAAATCATGATGACCCTCCTATTTTAATAGTTATAAACAGTGGATTTGACTGTTTCTCACATAAATGTACTGGTTGTGCTCTGATTTAACCAAAAAAAAGTAAATGCTTTCCCCTTGTCATAAAACATCTTCAAGGCTACTAAAATCCAGTGCAGAGAATCTTCTCCACACTTAAATACCTCAGATCATCATTTGTTCACTTTTTCAAAGCAAAGAGAAAACTAAAAGGTGTGCATCCTTGCCAAGGTTTATATATTTTTATAAATCAATGCAGCAGCCACGGAGCACCTCTGCCACTGACGTCTCTGTTTGCGGAGACAGCAGCAGAAGATGCTGTAAAATATTCAAAAGTAATTTCACTAACTTCAGTAACCTTCAGGACCCGAGCTGCGATGCTCTGTGTCGTGCTGCCCTTCGCTACCATCCCAGTTGGTTTTGAAGGGAAACTTTACAGCGTGCCGTGGTGTTATCCTGGATTACCCTGTGTACAGTGACGTAGCTAAAATAAAAAAGGTAGTCCTGGATGCTAAATTTACACAAATTATATTAATAGCCCTTATTCATGGCCGACATTTCAAAGTCAAATTTTCATGTGAAGGTAAGAGCAGCAGAGGTTTGAAAAAATTTTAATGGATGATTACTGAGTTCCATTTAGATGCGTCAGTTTTGTGTGCAGGTATTGTGCATACTGGCTCTCTTTCCCACTGTCAGAGACACTTGAAGAATATTCAAAATATCCGCTGTGAAAAAGGCCCATAGGAGTTTCTGTCAGGCCCTCCTTACTGTCTTTCAAAGTCCTGACCCCCAGTTTGTTTCTGAGCTGATGTTGTTGATGTTGTTTGTCAGTGGGTTTCTTGAAAAGCCACACAACACAATGGGATGTGCGATTTAGCCCACACACACTTGAGTGTAAAAACACTGGAGCTCTGCTTTGATAAAGAAAGTGAGGTATGAAAGCATGTGTTCACAAAATAAATACATTTTCCAGGCAGTTATTGGAATTTCATTACAGCACAATACTTCATCTAAAAGCCTTTAAAGTGCTCTATATGTTATTACTTTTGTTTGACAATTGAGCCATTATTCACTTAATTCACATCTTCTGTTCCTCACACATCAGAGTGAATGAATTACTGCTATTTTTAGTTCCTCGTGTTGCTCTGAGTGTATTGATAAACATTCTCCTCAGAAGCACAAGAAGAAAACTGGCAGGACAATTTATCGCTTGGAAACAGCTTGCTCAAAAAGCATTGTTGCCCAGCAACAAGCATCACAGACATCCTTTGAGAGATGGAGGAAGAAAAAAGTCTTCGCATACTGGCATACTGTATGTGTATGGTGTTTATAGTGGGCTGCTTTGTCACCATTATGATCCACAGTGGAAGGTTTGTACTTCCACTGGCTGCTGTTTGATGGTAGGTATGTGGGTGTCACAGACACATACAGAACTGTCTGTACAAAACCATGGCAGGGAGCGGGGAGCAGTGAGAGAAAAGAAACAAGGACACCGAGCCGAGGCGAGGGAAAGACAATAGGAAGATGGAGAAGGGCAACAGGACGATGGAGAAGGACAACAGGGCAATAGGGCAAAAGAGTGCGTCGTGTACAGTAGAACCTTCAGATTCAAGGTCTTTATTGTCATCATAATCAAGTACAATGATGTAAGATGTTAACAAAATGACTAAAGGTTTAACTAGGGTACTCAGCTGGGTATGGTTAAATAAAAATCTAATACAATAAAGCTGAAGAAATATTAAGGATAAGAATTAGAAGAAAGATGTGTGCTTCACCTGTGGCTACGGTAGACGTTGAGCAAAATGATGATGAAGCCCAGGCAGTAACAGCCCAGGTAAGGGCTGCCAAAGAGCCTGGAGAGTCTCCGTGTACGATGTTCCCATCTTGCCACCTGACGAATGACAGAAACAGAGGGCGGAAGACATGAGACAATGGTGTTTTCCTTAGAATCCTATCAAGTAGTTACAGAAATGCAGGAAATCATTCTCTGTAATATGCCAAGGGGGGCATGCAAATTACTTTTAGTTCTGGTTGGGTTGTCTACCAACTACTGAGAGAAACTTGTTACCCAGGAATCCCTCTCCCCAACAAGACTTTCCAGCTCCTCTTTTCGGATCCTGAGGCGTTTCCCAGGACAAATGGGATGTATAATTCCTCCTGTGAGTTGTGATTCTACCAGGGGCTACTCTCAGTTAGGCATGCCAAGAATACTTCCAACCAGAAGGTACTCAGGAGGCATCCTAATCAGATGCCTACACTGCTTCAAATGGCTCCTTTTGACAGGAAGACTAAGCCCAGACATTCTGTGGGGAAATTATTTCAGCCGGTTGTATCTGCAATCTCTAAATACTAAGTGTCTACTCTGCAGTTGGCTGCTTATTTGCAGAAAATGCTGTTGCAACAAATTGTTGTTTACTGCCATTTATGTTTTTCTTTAGCTCCTAAAATGTCCTATTCTAAGCAAGTAACTCTTAATCAAACAATACAACAAGATTTTTACTATTTAAATAGCATCTAATGTTTAAAATAAAGCCATTGCCAGTATGATCCATTGAGCGTCAGTAATCGCTCAATGGATCATACTGCATACTTTAAAGAAAGAGGTGGTGTATAGTGAGAGATGGCTCACATGAAATAATTGGTTTTAAATGAGAAGATATGAGAAAGTCTCAGGGGTAAACAGTGTGCAATGACCGGGAATACTTTGTATACTGAAAAAAGGTCCTGAAGACATTATGTCCAGATATGAATGTAAAGGGAGTTTTTTGATGATTTATATTTGAAGTTATAGACATTTATCAGTAATCAGTTGTTGTTGCTGTTGTCAAACCAATGTTGCAAAAGTGCTGTCACTTACAAGGATGAATCCCAGTCTCTGCTGCTACAGAGCCTCTGTTTATTACCATGCATTACCTTGGGCCATTAACAATATACAAGTTTGCAGGCGGTAAAATGGTTCTTGACTCGAGAAGTGCGTTCCACATGCAGAAAGACAGACACAGATTTCTGGAATTAATAGATAGACTAGCAAACTGTTTGGGCTGGAGAGGAAAAAGAAAATTGGATGCAAATATTTGGCTGCTTTTCCACTCAGATAGAATTATCAGCTCTTGTTCTTCTTAATTTGGTTTCATCCCTCAGAAAGCTGTTACATAAAAGCGTCTTTCTTTTGGTGGAGCTTTTAATTCATGCTTTCAGCTCTCGAAATTGCACCATGCGTATTCCACAGGGACTGGCAGTAAAATACCTTATCTAAGCGGTCACAGATGCATTTTCTGAGATGCAATCCACACTTTTTTAACAGTTATGCAAGATTTAAAAAAACTACAAGCCTGTCTGTGGCATTACAGACTGAAAAACTGATGAAGTTACAGACAAACTCCAAATGGTTGACTGTATGTGGGCTGCAAAAGTGCGTAGATGACTGAGAAGTGCAGCTAAACATAAAGGACACAAATGTTGCCGTGGAAACAGCCTTTATATGTTGTATGGAAAGGTGGAAAAAGGAGCAGGAAGATAAATAAAAGAAGAGAGTAAATAAACTTCATATGGGAAAAAAGAAAGACAGCGTTTAAATACACCTGCTCCTGGTTCGTGAGCTCTATAGAAAAAAGATATTTTCACTGCAGAGTTTTAGTCACAAAGCAGCCTGTGGACAAAATTGGGTTGTTTTATATTATATAAAAATGTATGTATAAAGTGGATAAACTTACATAGTGCATGGTGGTGAGTAGATAGAGTGAATTTTCTCTTTCTCCATACTAAGAGTAGAAGACTGCTGTGCAATAAAAGCCTCACAATAGAAGATCCTTTGTGACATATTGAAACATTCAAACGTTGGTATCATTACCGTCCGCTCAGTGGATTTCTGGGACAGACGGAGCAGCAGAGAGAGAGACACAGCAATAACGATAACAATGGGGGGACTAATGACAGGAATTAGCCACGCAAGTAACAGGTTTCTGCATTTTGATGTCACTAAGCAGCACTTTGTGACACATAATAACACATACTGTACGTCAGCATTCCATCCATCCATGCCCTAATCCACTTATCATTTAAGGGGGCTGGAGCCATCCCCAGCTGACATTGGGCAAGAAGAGGGGTAGAGCCTGGACAGGTTGCCAGTCCTGCACAGATATCAGCATTCTCTCAGGTCAGAGGTGTACAGTGCGACGTATACAATGCACAAGCTACAAAGAAACCATTCAAACCAATTTAATGCTGTAGCACTCGTACGATACAGTTTTGTGTTTGTGTGCAATAAAGAAAAAATAAAGAGGTATTTTTACATCATAAAGAAATCCTCAACAACCAGTGAGGTTGTTCTCCTCTGAGAGGGCTAGAAGGTTATGCAGGCGCACACAAACACACATGGTGAAATTGAAGCCAGCCATGCTGTCACTGCCATTGACATACTAACCTATAAGCCAAGGAGGTTATGTTTTCACTCCTGTCTGTTTCTATATTTGTCAGAAAAATTACACAAAAAAACCTGAACATATTTCCACAAAACTTGGAGGTGGAAGGATGGAACAAGGGCAAAGAAAGAACCAATTCACTTTTGGGGCAGATCAAAGATGTGGATCCAGGAATACACTTTCTTGAACAAGAGATCAGGGGTTTAGACATTTTTAACAATTTCCCAGGAAATAATGCAGTGATCTTGAAAGAAAAAGATTGTGCATATTTCACAGACTAATATTCATGAGTAGTTGAAGACTGTTGGGCCTTGGTGGAGTGTCAAAGCTGAGGTAAAGGTCGGGACAGCCTGATAAGAAAATAATTGAGTAAAGAGTAAATCAAGTCTCAAAGAAGAGGGGAGACAGAATTTAACCGAACATCTAACATCCACGTGTTTAAACCCAGGACCATTTAACATTTCTTGTCCTCTCCAACTTCAGCTCTGTTGCTAGGCAACCAACAGCAATAAGAAATGGACAGACTGATTACAGAAACCTTTCGTAGACCAGACCGTCTCATTTCAGTTCTGTTTTCGTGGGCTGAGTAGAATGCATCCTCCAGAGGTTTGATATGAGAGATACATACAGCATCCACACAGGCAAGCCATTTATACCAGTACACTGCTACAGTCTATTCTGAGCCAATGATGGGACTGAAAGCTCCCCTCAAAATCCTTCAACACATTTTACAGACCCTCCATGAGGTGATTGAGTACACTAAAAATAATCAGGTGTACTGCACACAGACTACTGATGTTTTAATCACTTCATCAATCAAGACATAGAAATAACAGCAGGCATGGGCGATAGGAGCGCTGGGAGTGGCCCCGGCTTGGCAGAACGAGCAGCTCTCCATGACAAATTCAATCAAGGTTTAGGTAACAGCCTCCTCCTGCATCCCCATCAGCCCACTTAAATGTGAGAGGCACTCAAATGGGTTTGAAATCAGGACAGAAAGATTTCTGAGGGGTAGGAACTTTAAAGGTTCAGTGTGTAGAATGTATTGATATTGAGTGTTGAAGTTGCATGTTGCAGCTGAATACCCATCACATCACACTCTCCTTCCAAACATGAAAGAGAACCTGTGGTGAACTTCAGTTGTCATAAAAACTCAAAAGGTGTTTAGTTTGTCCAGTCTGGACTAATGTCAAAAAACATGGTTGTCTCAATAGAGAGGACCCCCTCCATGTAAATATATAGTATTTAAATATAAAGGGCCTTTTCTGGGGTAAAGAAAACTACAATTTGTACAATTTTGTTGAAACGAACTATTGAAAACATCATGAGGATTATTCTAAATTAAATTTCTGGCAATTCACCTAAATCTTGCACACTGGACCTTTAAGTAGCAGAAACTGTAGAATACAGCTAAAAGCACATCCAACTAGTCCTCATCCACATATAGGAAATATACACACTGACATACCAACAATAAAATTGTATTAATATTAGTACAGCTGTGTGCCACCGAGAAGAACAACCAAACACAAATGCACACACATGCACAAGCTGTATTAATACATGGATGTGTGTCCCGGAGTAACAGCGAGAAAGAGAACAAGAACATAGACGGATCACATGCACGCCAGGAACATCCTGATTAAGTCCTCACTCAATTCAGAAAACACTGATTGACTATTAAAATATCTGGGGATTTGTGGACAACACTGAGAGTACACGCTCTTTCAATGTAGCAAACTAAATTTAGAGATAAATAAATTGAAATTTGGGGACAGGGGTTTTGTTATGATAGAAATTGAGACACACACACACACACACACACACACACACACACAGCAACATATTCTGACATAACAAAAATAAGACAGTCAGTTTAATGGACAGCAGTCTCTCATAATGCTTACAAGTAGTTCAGGTTCAACTCGAGCTGCGCTATCATGTGACATGCCTCATTCTCAAAAATCCTCTACCATACACACCCTATCAATACGGCAGTCTATACATGCATACATTTATATATATACATTCATATTTATATATATATTGTTAGTACACACACACATATATATATCCAAAAGGTCCTTATCATGTAAGTGTAAAACCAAATGAGATCATGGCTCCTAAGGCTGCATCGTTCCACTTTCAGGCAAAGTGAGAGGTCAAACCTATTATATCACCTTGATTATGTCACCAACAATGATTCGGCTGAAATGTTTACAGACTGCAAAACTGCAAAATGAAGACACTCAAAATGAGAGGCTATGGATCTAAATGTAACTTCTTATATCACTTTAATTTGGGGCATCAAAATGAACTGATTCAAATCAAAACACCTAAAAAGCAAAACAGTGTTGACTAATTCAAAGGTGGATGAAAGTGTTCTGAATACAGCCGCAGGGTAGCTGCAGACTGCGGCCTGTTTGTCACGGACAGTTACAGGAATACTTTTGTTGCCCTCAAGTTACAG